GTTGATGATATTGAAATAGAGGAAAACTTTTATGGGCTGTTTTACTTTTGCAGTGATAACTTTAGACTTGACCCAGAACCACAGACAGGGAGGAGTTTATGTAGACATGAACTTCCAGGCAATTGTCTTGAAGGTATACAATATGAAGTGATTATTTTCCTTTGGATGATTCACAATTGGGAAGTAGTTTTTCCTACATACAATTTTTAGAACCAAAGGTGTGTTAGAATAAAATATTCTGGCTTAAAAAATTGTTCTTTGAGTCACTTCTTTTTGATATTTGGTTGATTTCAGTTATAACTAGATTTACTTTTGAAAGTCACTTTGAACTTTCTATATTTAGGTATTTGCATTTAATAATTTCGGATTCTTCTGAGATTTCTGATACAGTTTGTTACGGCGTAGCATTTGAAAACAGTGTATGTCATGGTCATCCACAGTAGCATGACCATTTTTGTTACAATCTTTGAGGTGTGTGGTCATAAAAACAATTCACATTATAAAATGCAGGAGGAAGAAGAAATACCTGCAAAGTGACATGTGTGTAGAGGCTGCACTTCAGATTTTGGCATCTCTTCTTCAAGTACATGTATTTGTAGGGGCGGATTCTCTTCAGGAATTTAATCAAATTGAAGATCCCTGTTTATAAACTCTTTGGAGATATAAAGAAATGAGCATCAACTCAATTTCAGATAGTTAATTTTTTCTTTTTAACTTGTAGAACATACAGCTGCCTGATTAAATAATATCTTACTCTGCTAGTAATCTTTCCACTTTGCTGTATCAGAAAGAAGAGGCAAAACATCTTTAAAACATATCTAAAGCATATGATGAAAATGAAAGTGTTCTAAAGAATCTTTTAGAATCTATTTTCTTTGTGCAGGTACCAGATGTTGATGTTGGCAGCATTTAAGAGGGTCACAGGGCATTTAAAATCACTAGGCTGTGGGGAATAAAATTCCAGGTCTGTTGCACTGAAAATTATTTAAAACTCATGTTTACTCAGTGGTAAGTAGTACAAAAAGCACTTTTTCTGTATAAGTGTGTTGTAAACAAGTACCCGAGACATACATGATCAATGAAACTGCTACAAAACATGTTCCTGTTCCAGTGGCTCTTAGCACTGCAGGCAGCTGGTTCTGTTTGAGTTTGCTCTTAAATGTGAAAAGCAAATCACTTTTGCTTGACCTTACTTTTGATCTGTTTGTTTCACATTAGAGGGTACCGAGGCCGAGTTCCTTAGTTGTGCAAATAAAGACATATGTACTATACTTAGGTAGTATTTCCTTTGTATTCTCTAGCTGTAATTTTGGGAAGGAAATAGGACTTTTCCTGCCCCCCCCCAAGGTTTTTTTTCTGTGTGTATGGGGGTGGTGGTGATGGTGAGCTAAGCTTTTTTTTCTCATTGATAAAATAGTTTATAGTGTCAATGCCAAATAGGAAATAAAAAATGGTTTTGAAGGACAAAACAGATTCCAATGGGGGTACCTCTTTGTATTCACTATAGATTATTATTTATTCTGGTTTTCTGAGTGTCAGATTTAAATGAGTTAGATTGTGTACTTTCTTAGTTTTCCAAAGGAATCTAATGCATTTCTACTCCAATTAGCCTCATTTCTTTGGTTAGGATATTTGAACTGAGATGCCATAAGTACAGTGAAATTAATTTCTTCTAGTCTGTGTTACCCTCCTTATTACTTCCCATCAAAGGTAATATTTCGTTTTTCTGTGGGAAGGGAAATAGTTCAAATAATCCATCAGTCACAGGGTAAAAAGACTAGAAGGAAACAGCTACTCTTTGAAGCTATCATCTCTGAGATCACAACTAACTTTCTCTCTGCATTTTACAACACTTTTTAGACTGTGATTATATAGAGAGTTTAAGTAAGAAAAATAAGTGTGTATGCTAAAGTTAATTTCTATACATCAAAGGAGTACAGATGTTGCTTGTTCTGGTTGTAGGTCTGGAGTCTTGGTTTTATTCGGTGACAAACAGAGGTGTGTTTGTCATCTGTGCTCTCATGTGTCACTTAACAGTGGAGACATGCTGGGATATTGACATGAAAGTGTTACAAGAATTTCAATGAATATCCTACACAATCCTATGTATAGCCTAATCATTAAGGTTGTGTGGTATATTGTCTTGCTCCTAAGGCACAAGACTATACAGCATATTATTGTGCTTCATATTGTAGGCAATTGTAATAGATATTTTTTATATCTAATTGTATTTGAACATAGAAAAAGTACAACAAGAATACAGCAGAAACCGTGGAAGTTGGTGCATCTGTGTAGAATACTTCTTATGAGTGGAGCTTGCAAGACTGAAGTTGTGGATGGGTTGGTGAGCGAATGATGTGTGACTATGATGGCCTCCGACATTATAACAAACTACTGTAGACTTTATAAACACTATGACCTTAGTCTACACTGAAATTATTAGAAGTTCTTGTTTGTAATCAATCAAGTTATGTTTTTGGATTTTATAAAATATATTTTAAAATTTTTAAATCTTATGCTTAGGTTAATATATGGAAATATTATACATTTATACAAAAGTACAAGGCTATTTGACTGTTTCCAAGAAACTTTTTATTTAAAAAGCTTTTTTTTTTCTTAAAAACTAATATGCAAGCACACATAAGCCTAAGTCTGAACAGCACCAGGATCATTCTCTTGTCATTCTGGAAGATCTGTGGTATTGACAAGATGAGCCGCCACTTGTTGAGGAGCTGCCTGAGACTCTCTTTAGGAAAATGTCTGTTGTAGTCTGTGTTGTTTCTTAGTTTTTTAATCATAGATTTATTTTTAAGCAAATAATTTACCATGAATATTTTATTCCAATAAAAACCTTCATTTTTTTCTTCTGTAGTTTCTTTTTCTTTTCTTCTTTTTCAACTGTTTGTTCATTAGTTAACCTTTTAAAAAGTCAGTTGCATGGCAATCTATGGGATCACAGTGTACATGTGGTCCGTTATCAACTGAAGCATTGCCTGAATAACTATCAGTCAAAGCTACTTGCTGTTTGGATTGGAGTATGTATAGTCATAGATTCTGTATCCACACAGTTTGTGATTACCAAAGGCAGCAGTGGTTTCAGGCTCACCATTATTGCCATCTTTACCACATGGATCTTCTACAAAATTTACATGTGTATATATGTATAATTTATTATATTGATATTGCTTATAAATGTACTTGTGAAAAGGAAGTGAACTCACAAGATGGGGAGAGTATTGAGGGGGGCTTTAGAATGCCTTTGTCATCTCTGTAGTTTAGTGGATTATGCAAAATGACAGTGCCTACTGTGTGATCAACACTTAGAGATGGTTTTCTAACTCATAAATTTCTTAATTCAGTTTTGGCTATTACTTCCAGCTAGAAGTTATTTAAGTTGTACTATATTACAGTTACTTGGAAAAATACTTGAAAGTCTGGTGTTGTGATTCAGGAGGTTGCTTTATAACCATTGAAGTGTGAACTTGGGTTTACTGCTTTTAACCTCTGAACTTTCCAGTCATTGTCTGTAAAATGAGGATGGCAAAAATGCTTTCCTTTGGGATGATGTGATGATACAAGAACAACTTTTGGTAAATTCATATACATTTTTACTTACTTACTAAGATATTCTTGCCAAATGACCTAAATTAGAATGAAGGTGATTTGGATCAAGTCCCTGAGTTCACAGTCTAGAGTCAAATTACATTTGTCCATTGTACTTGGAGAAAGGGGGGCCTCCAAAGATGTATGGTTTTAATCTTATTTTTGTTAGAGGCTATGGCTACTCTAACCCCATAGCTTCCATTAAAAAACCTGGAAATAGTTCATTTTCTGTTCTAATTACTTGGCAGAAATCTAGAATAGAAAGAAACTAGTAACAACCAACCTTTCCTTTGCACTTACAGATCAACAAAAGCGATTCTTGGGTCCTAGAGACCAAAGAAAGAATCAGCAGGAATGCCCAGGGTGAATTGATGGATTGCAGAGCCTGGCTGGTAATTACTTTCACTGAGCTAAAACATTAACTTGATACATGGGAGCAGGGCCAGATGAAAATCAGGAGGTGGACCTCTTCCTCCCTGTGGACTGCTCATACCTTCCTTGTGGAACTTATGGAGGTAGCTGTCTCTGGTGGGATAGTTCTGCTTCCTTTCCTGAGACTTGGCATGGATTTTCATCCCCCACCCTGGTAGACCAGGAGTGGTACCTTCGTTTTGGCTATTGCAGAGATACGTGTTTAGGTCAGCCTGCTTTCTGGGATGGCAAGAAATCAGTTTTTCAAGACTTTTCAGCAGGTTACCAAATATTAACAGACCTTTCTTATCTTGGGGCTCAATTTTTTTTTTTATAGTGGATGTTGAACTCACAGCCTTGCACATGGTTGGTAAACATCTTGTCATTGAACTCCATTCTGAACTTGAAATATTTAGCTTTTGGACATTTGTGACAGATACCTAACTTCAAACTAGAGGATATTATCCTCTTCAAACAAGCCAGGGGATTTTATTTTTTAAAAATGACACCTGATGGTTATTGATACTTTACTATTTTGCTATCTTGGAAATACTGTGAATCCATAGTGAGGTGATGTAACTATGAAGTGATATAGGTTTTCTATAGGTTGAAAGGGCACATTCATGTTTTCAGATGGTCATGGAATTTAAAGTATATGAGAACTCATTTAATATACTGTGTTCTTACTGCCAACCTTTTCATCATACAATAGAAAGGAATGGACTTGAAATAAAATTTTTTGGGTTCAGGCTGATTATTACACCATGGGAATAGTAGTTACCTTAAGAGACTTAGAGTGGATTGAATCTTAAAATCTGTGTTAAAGTTAAAATGGCAATAAATTATGAGCTCTCCCATGCTTTTATTATTTTTGTCATACTTCATTTCTATAACCACCGTGTTTTGTTCTAGCCAAGCAGTTCTTTGTTGTATGCCATACTGTCAAATTCTGGCTTTGATAACATAGATTCTGTGGTTTGTTGCCATCCCTCAAATGGACAGACCTGAACATCTATCACTGTGCTAGCCAAAACAAGGGATGTCTACAACTCTAGCCTGCCTGGGTGGGGCTATGTACTCAGACTGTATGAAAAGAATGCTTAACAGTTGTGGAGGCTTTTGACCTCCATGGTAAGCAAGAAGGCACATAATTGAGTCATACTAGAAATTCTGTTAAGAGTTTTATTTTGTGTATTTATTAGTTATGTTTCTGATACATAAATATTTGTCACATGAGATTCTATAAATATTTTCTCTTGTAACAGCACAGCAGACATTCTGTGGAATCATGATTCATTGTGGAGATGTCTCCCATACTCTCTTGTTTTCTTAGACACCTAAATTGAAGGTACACTATTTGAAGTATATAAATACTTAGTCTAGCTAGCATAAGACATTAAGTAGGAAGGCTTCAATTATAAAATATGTTATGATGGGGTTACTTAAAAGGCCAGAACTTTGTAGAATTTTAAACAACATGGGAACATTATTGACATATTGATAAGAAAAGAGCATTTATTAAGAATTAGTTGAATCAGCTGTGACACAGTTAGTTTGACTTCATCATGGATGTAATTGATGACTCATTGCCAGCATGGCTTAGTAGAAGAACAGGGATTTGGTATTTTACCCATTTTCTTTACTTAAGAGCTTTGGGTATATTGCTTTTTCTAAACCTTAGGTTTCAAAAAGTTGGGGCATGGGGCTGGACAGATGGCTCAGTGGTTAAGAACACTTGTTTCTCTTGAAAAGGGTTGATCTGGGTTTGATTCCAGATGGCTTGTGGCCATCTATAACCCTGGTTCTAGGGAATCCAATGGGCACTCATGTGGTGTACATACATGTGTATAGGTAAAACATCCGTACACAGAAAGTAAACTGAATATAAATTTTAAAAGTAATGGTGCTATCCCTTTTCCACGAAATTCCCAGTCTTGAAGTGACTAGCTCTATTTCTTTCCTTCTGGCCACAACTCCTTTCCCTGTATTTCACAAGGTTCAAGTTATGGCATAAAAGAACGTGGACAGTTTTTGTTCTTATCCTAATGTTTACTGTAGTTAGCCTTGTAAATCATGTCTTTACTGTGGAACTCTTGGCTCCTATAAATCCCGGCCCTTGGGAATGAAGTTCGTGACAATCATGAAGTGTCTTACTTCAAAGGATGAGAAAACCAAGCTACCAGAATCATGAAGTTCTCTGCTGCAGAGTTGTGTTCCTGCCTCTCCTCAGCATCACCTGGGGACTGAGGACGTGGAGAACAGCATTCCCATTCACATCCTACTGGCAGTGGCAAGGGTTTGGAGGAGAGGGCTCTGGGACTAAGCAGAGATTTTTAATTGTATGGCCATCTGGCCTTCCCTGACCATTCTTTACCCTTCCATTATACCTGTAATTGTCATCAGATGGCTCATACTCCCAAATGTTTCTGATAGTGCAGTGATCTTAGGAGTGTGCTTTTTAAAAAAATTTATTTTACTTTTGTTCTTTGAGACAGAGTTTCTTTGTGTAACAGCCCTGGCTGTCCTGGAACTCACTCTGAAGACCAGGCTGGCCTTGAAATCACAGAGATCCACTTGCCTTTGCCTCCTGAGTGCTGGGGTTAGAGGTGTATGCCACCACAGCCTGGCAGGAGTGTGCTTTGTAAAAGGCAAGGATTAGCGTGTGTGTGTGTGTGTGTGTGTGTGTGTGTGTGTGTGTGTGTTCACAAGCAGTTAAGCATTTCTGGGGCAGAGAAAGTCTGTCAAATATGGACCCCTCTTTTCTGTCTTCTCTAGAGCTGTCCCACTTCTTTTGCTACCTTGCCTTGGAGTCTCCATATTACAAAAGTGAGAACATATTCTGAAAACATGTTAGTATAATTATTTGTGGGGATCTTTAGAGACCGCTGCATCTTTCGTGGGTCAGTTCAAGGCTTCAGGAAGGTTGACAATAGGTCTGGGCAGTAGGTAACCCTGTGAAGAGTGATTTAAGTCTTGATGTTTTCCTGAGATAGATCCTGAATTATACCTGATAATATTTAAATGCCTGAAGTAATAGCATTAATTGCCAAAGCAGGTGCTCCAGTGGAAAGCCAAAGGGCACAGGAAGAAGCAATGATTGTGTTCTGTAGGGGTATGTGCTACAATTTAGCTTTAAAATAAGAAAAACTTGGTAAGTTTCCATGCTTGGGTGGATGCTGTCTTGTAAGGTGCAGACAGAGAGATTTGCACTCTGTGTCTCAGGGGGTTTAGTTTTTCATCCTTGTCTTACTTAACTTTTGTATTGCTGTGCTAAAAATGCCATGACCAAGGCAACTTACAAAATAGAGCATTTCATTGGAATTCATGGTTCCAGAGGGTTAGTATGTCACCAGCATGGCAGCATGACATTAGACAAGCAAGGGTGGCACTAGAGCAGTATCTTAGAGCATACATCTCATCTACGGGTATCCAGTAGAGTGAGAGCTAACAGGTAATGGTGTGGGGTTTGGAAACCTCAAAACACACTTCCAGTGACAAATCTTTTCCGTCTAGGTCATATCTCCTAATCCATCTCAAACAGTTGTACCAAATGGGGACCAAGCATTCAAACATATGAGCCTATGGGAACCATTCTCATTCAAATCACCACAGTCATCATAAACTTGTAGCTTAAAACAAAAAACAAAAAACCCCTCATGCCTGCCATATGCATTATTATGTGCATGCGTGTATACACATGTTTGGCTTCTGTCAGGTACCTTGTCCGTAACTACTTTTCAGGGAAAGTAAAAATTGTCTAAAAGAGAAAGGCCAGTTTATTTGCCAGAAGAAAAATAAACAAAAATCCGTTGACTGCTCTAAATCCCTGTGTTCTTCTTGCACCCCTTAGTCCCCAAGCAGAGACTTACTCCACAGAGGAGGTTGGATAGAATTATTCTACCAGGTCCTATTGGAAAGTGTAAAATTAATGATAACATAGACTATTGTTCTCATTCATTCTGTTGACTGAGAAATTCTGGGTCTTTGATTGTTTTGTTTTTAAAGCTGTTTTGACTCTTACAGTAGGTAAAAATAGTTCATTGTCCTCTGGTGTTCGTTTATTTAATAGTAAAGTATTTTCTTAGCCACCTCTGGATAGCGATGGTCTGTTTGTGCTTTCTTCCATATAGCAACCCCTTCATAGTTTCCATATGGATCTTAAAAATAATGAGGGCAAATGCTTGTGTCTACCATAGAACACCATGTCAGTGAGTGCTCCCTCTTCCCTGGTAGCATGGGATAGAAGAGGAACATGTTAGCCCTTGATCTCAACAAAGACAAGAGATATCTCACGATTTCAGGTAACTGCATTGTTTTTAGAGATGATCAGCCTTGCAAGTAGGTTCGGGGAATAAGTTCTCTCCAGTGCTTTGTGATAAGAATGCTGCTAGGTGAAACTTCAAAAATTCCCACCCCCAGTGCAGAAGCTCCAGAGCAGCCATTAGCATCTGCTGAATCTGCCTGCCACTTTGAGTCCTGATTCAAAAACAAAAAACAAAAACATGTGGATTCCTTTTTCTTCTCCTCTGTCTGTAGGCTGCTGGCCACTTTCTCTAGTACTCTAGCCTTCTCCTGCTTTCTCTGAAGTGTCCTGTCTGCCATGTGTTTGGTTTCCATGTTGTCTGAACTCAGCAGCATCATTTCTCTCTTCTCCTTGTACTTCTACAGTGACTGATGAGATTCACAGCTTAACCTGCTTTGGAGATTTTTCTTTTCAACTCTAGTAAAATTGTCCCTGAGCTTCTAACAGTAGCACAACAGTGAGTACACAATGCACTCTATGTCAGTTAAAGAATTTTCTGTTGCAGGATGTGATTGGTAGGGTCTCCTTTTTGGTGGGATGGAGATGTGGAACAGCATCTTCCAGAATGGAAGCCAACTGCCCTGGGACTTCACCTTATTAACCATCTTGTTTTTCCTTCTTGTGTCATTTTCATGGTGGATGTGTTGGAGTAAACAGTTACTCTGTTTCTGCTGTTTA